ACATTTGAGCGCTAATTCAATTTTTATTCATATGACAGTGGCGGAGATTGGGGATTGCGTGAAGTTCTTTTGACCCCAATTTTTACGACTCTGCGAAATCATGTGAGTGTTCTTCGTTGTTAATTTTTTAAAAATTTACAAAGCAATCCTTTATGGAAAAATATCTAATATAAATGGTGTTCGATCATTCTATCTCTAGACAAAACACAATTTCCTACGTTATCCATTCCAATGACAGTATTAACTGCATTCAATATTTTCTTAGCTCACATAAGAAACTAGGTTATTCTTTGTTTACTTTATCTTCTCCATAGCCCAAGTTTTATCAATCTATATATATATATATATATAACTTCAGAGATATTATAAATGTGACATAATTTTTAAAACTTACCACTCCGCCAGTTGTTTAAAGTTCCTAGTCCATTAGGGTTGTTTGATCTAAAATCATCAAAGGAACATATTGCTGAAGTTATGACATGGGCTGTCTATTGTACGAAGACATTACGGTGGCTCCATTTCATTACTTTATTAGTGATAAAGGAACTATGAAGGGAAGGGAAGACAAAGTTCATTAAATAAAAGCCTAAACAAGCACGGTCAATAGCAATATGATTTTTGTACATTCCCATCAAGTTATAAATATGGAAACAGATTATCGGGATTGCAAAATAAGGAAGCAAGCTGCATTTTCAATTAATTTGAAAGAGCATAGACGAAGTTCCTGTGCCTAGTAAATAATTATCAATTATAGGTTTATCCGTTTTATTGCACCAACATTTGCTTGATAGGCACGGTTAAAACTAGATACAACTTTGGATGGAACAAATGTTTTTTTTATTGGATCCAACAGCCATGAATAGAATATTACGTAGTTCGCATTAATTACCACTAGAACAAGGGTCGGCAACTGGCGGACCGCGGTCCAGGTGCGGACCGCGGAAGGTAAAATACTGGACCGCCAAAAATTTTTTGAAAGTATAAATTACTCAAATAAGTTATTTAAAAAATGTTTTTTTGCATTTAAGTGCCAACCTTATCATTTTTTCTAGTATTTTACAATTATGTGAGTGTTTTGAGTTCTTAATGGTTAGTAAGCAGATTAAATTTGAGTTCAAATGAAAATTTGTAAGAAATATGAATTTTTTTCTGGACCTCGTTAAAAATTTTTAAAAGTATCCGGACCCCACCTAAAATTACTTGCCGACCCCTGCACTAGAATAATAATAGATATGTCATTGTGGAGACTGACTGAAAAAAGCAGATTTTTTTTTTCAACTGCAGAGAGAAAGAGAATATTCTACATTTTATTTCAAGTATCTACAATGCTGGTAATCATTTTGTCTTACCAGCATTTTTGTTGTATTTCTTTGCATTTTTTATATAGTTCGGGTTTGAGTAAATCAATCTATCGATTTTTTGTATATTTAATACTTGATACAGTAATTATTGATCCTTTATTTTATAGTTTACTTCACCGATTGATATGGTATTTATTTTTACAAATTTTGGGTATTAGTTATCTAGGAAATTTTTTTAATGCGTAAAATCAATGTTACCCTTGGAACCATCCACATAACATAAGCTTTGTTGTATATGACAGAAAATATTATAAAGGCAGTTGGTATTATGAGTTTTGTACCAACTGTTTTATTAATATTAAAGAAACTATGAAGTAGGCATCCATGTTTAAACATGCGCGGTCAATGACTGTATTTCTCGGTACACAGAAAAATTTATAGTAAGATTAGAAAATAAGAAAGTAAAAAAAAAGTAAGATTTGCGAAATAGTCATCTAAAAATTTTCTTTATTATGTAAAATCAATGCGATCCTAGGAATTAATGACTTTCATCTTCAGAAACGGGTTCTACTGTATGTTTTTTTTAAGTCTATACATGACTTCAGGAGGCTGTTGCTTGGGTTATTTTAGATCGGAAAGCTTCAATGAATCATAGATATAAAACCAGTGCTGAACTTTAAAAATATATGTTAATTCAAATATTATATTTCTGAAGCTATTTGACCTAGATAAACGAATCTTGGACTAATAATTTATCCATGTACCATATGATGTTCTATGGATATCAGTTTCTTTGTCCAATTTTGGTTCTGAGGATGACCATTGATTTGTTCTGGATATTCATCGTATATCCATAATCTGAAACGAATAATATTTTCCTTATTCGTATACCCATAGGATACCCTTTTTTATATAAACATGGACGTAATAAATATAAGTCGTCCAAGCTTCTATGTACTCAAACTCGATAGTATGGGCTTACTGTGAAGATACAAAAAAAATTAAATAAAATTTGTGACACGTTGTGTTAAATGGGATGAGGTAAGCTCCATTTTCAATCAAAAGTATTATCTTTGGGATTTGACAGAAACGACTAATGACGTCATAAAATATATTTTTTCCAGAAACATTAGATATAATAAAAAACGTATAAATATACATATTAGTATTGTTAAAAATATTTCACCACATAAGTTTTTGTTTTATAACCTCGTATAAAACGTCAGAATGTAAACACTGAATAGCTCAATCATTTGAATCACTAGGTCGCTGGGCATCATAAAAGTGGTCACTTATTCAATGGAGGTTTAAATTCCATCGAAAAAAAAGGTCGTTCGGTAAGTATTGAATAATCTATAAATATAGGAACAACAAATATTTATAGTTACCTATATAGAAAGATGTTTTAGGTTATAGGAGATGACGAGTAAATATTAATATAAGTTGAAAAATAATTGTGTGATAATGAAACGAAAATAAGTTCATGCATACAATTTAAAAAAAAAACAAGCTTTTAGTGCCACCATGCATTGTCATTAAAACTAAAAGTGTATGCAAAATTTCAGCTCAATCGGTTGGGGATAACTGTTTTAAAATTCAATTGCAAGATTTGACCCATACTAATACTTAAATAAAAGCAAAAAACAATTTACGGTAAAGGAAATGGGTAAATAAAAATACAGGAAATTGAGTGGGTGGAAAATGTACAAAAAACAATTAAAAACTGTTTATTTTGATTTAGAAGGAGTATACGGATGATGGACGTCCAGTGGATGACTTATTTTGAGTTATCACTGTAGAGCTACTAATAATGTGGATGTAAGTATGCCGTGGATCCAATTATATAGTGTCTAGTATGGTAACACTTGCATCTCCTTAGACATCCATCTAGAGTCCAAAGGGATAATCTAGGGAATAGGAGGGATGTACAGAATATCCAAAGCAACTATATGATGTCCTTAGGATGTGTGCTATTTGGGAAATTCCTATTGTTATTTCTAATAAATGATATATTTCAACCTATGAGGTGTCTTCGAGTTTTTCGATAGTGCCTTTTAGTAATTCTGTGCTGGAGGTCAGATTTATAGTGGTGCCTCTTGACTTTAATACCAGGGAGGGCACAAAAATTTAGGAACAAAGTATTGAAAAAGAATCATATATGGTTGGGTAGTTTTATTTTAAGTGATATTAAACTATAGGGAACCATTATTTTTTATTATGAAAGTCCATTCTTCTGGTTTTGTCCGAAATAGACTTTCCAATTAATTTTTAGTTAATCTCAGTTTGTTTCTACAATTATACAAGGTGATTCACAACTTATCCAAAAAAATTTGGGAATAGATGCGACATGAGAAATGGATTGTAAAATTTTTTTTTTGTAAAATCCTTATAGTTTCTGAGAAAAAAATTATTGAAGTTATAGCACATTAAACCACTACATAGCTGGACAACTGTAGTCTCTAGCATCATTCGCCACGTGGCCTCACCGACTCCGAATACTGAATTCGGATATTGCAATCGTCGTTGCGATATTTACCTGTTATCTGTGGTTTTTATAACACGTTTTTAGTAGTTAGTGTCAAAAATGGGTAGTTAGTGTCAAAAATGGTTTGCGTGTACTCGGAGTTGATGGATATCGTTTTAATTTATGTTGAAGCGTTTGTGTTATGGCAAGACAAGACATCATTTGTGTTAGTTCGTAGAAAGTGAGTAAGACGGACCCAAATGTGTTTACACGTGAGTGGATAAAATTTTGAACAATTGCTGTTGCAGCATCGGGTATGTCAAATGATTTTATTATTTAAAAACACAAATTGCCGATATAAAATAGGTGCGATACAATTCTATTTACATATTTCTTTCCTTGCGAAAGTTTTTGTCCGTTTTTATCACGCCGCCATACCGGTCACATTGTGCGAGGTCAGGTTTTACAGTGGACCAGTTTCCAGTGCCGTGCAGAAGTCTATTTTTAAATCAATTTCGAACTGACCTTTTTGATTTTTTTCTTTACAAAATTGTATTTGTAAGGGTCCGCTGTATATCCAGAATTTTTTTTTGGATAAGTTCTGAATCACCCTGTATATATTTTTTAAACTTTACCAGTCTAAATTCCAAAAACTAGTGATAATAGACATTTGGTTTATCAAGGCTTTTTGTTCAAAAATGACCCAAGGAACAAGATGCTGAAATTATGAATGTTATGGTATAGACTTAAAAAAAACCTCGGGTCCAAAATATTATTTACTTACAGTAATTTACAAGAACTTATAGAACTTCCTGTAGCTAGTAAACAATTATCAATAATTGTAAGTCTATCCGTTTTATTGCGCCAACATTTGCTTGATACGGTTAAAACAAGATACCACGAATGGAATAAATGTTTTTTTATATCATTCGACAACCATGAATAAAACATCGCGCGCTGCGCATTAATTAATATTATAATAATAATAGGTAGATATAATATCATTGTGGAGATTGACAGAAAAGCAGGTGAGATTATTATTATGTTTTTCAAGTTAAAAATCTAACTGCAGGCAGACAGGAGCAGAGGTAGATCGTAGATCGACCCGACCGGAGTTCTACTGTTAGGTGACGTCGAGTTCCGGGACCCAATCCTGGAGCCGAACAAAACCCCACTAGCCCCGTTCACGATTATACCCTGTCGGCCGTGTAACCGGCAAATGCGCCGAGTAGCGAGTTTCGACTTCGTTACTTCGTTCGTCCCGCCATTAGTAGTTGCACATTCACGGCAGTTGCGTGTTAATCGATAAATCCACATACTGTAGATTTATGAAGTACAAAAAAAGCATCCCTCCAGTCTATGAGTGGTTTAGTGGCTTAAAAGAAGTGCTCGTAATTTAGGATATTATTTTCGTTTTACACCCCTGGGCGATATTTTTGTTAAGGGAAGGGCTTTCCAGGGAAAAGGTAGGCAAAGAAAGTCGAATCTGACATAATATTTTAACAAAATAGAACGTAATGGTAAAAATATGTAATATCGTAATTAGATCAACTTACGTTGAGTTAGATGATGTCCCTATGCTTCCAGAATATGAAATTTTTTAGATATAAACGCAGTGAATTCGTGATATGTACTATCTATTTATTTACATTTTTAGCACGTTTTCTTATATTGCCAGCACCTAGTATTGTGAAAAAGTGCGATAATAATTAGAAATACCATTGTAGATTTATTTACAAGTGTCGATTGCAACCGCTGACTGCAGCTTATAGGAACGCGGTTTTTTCTCAGAAATAAAACTAAAAATATATAATTAACATGTAATACGAGAAAATCTATATTGTAAATTTTTTCACTGCATTCATCTATGTACTACAAGACTACAAGTAGCTGAATGTTTCTTCGAAACAGTACTACATACATAATTTTCCGAGTAAGTACCTTTCAAGAGTGGTTTTTTATTAAATTGTCAACAAAAATGCAGACAATTAACCTTCAGCATATTTTGTAACACAATCTTACTTAAGTAAGTTTTGTTCTTTGTTTTGTGTTGCGAATTCATGAGATATCTGGGTACCTATACGTTTTTTCACATCTAAAAGTTTAATTTAAAATTTTGATTTTCTAATGAAACACTTCAAGACAATTGAAGTAAAAAATAAAGGTGATTAGATTTACTGACCTCCACAAATGGCCTATTTTAGATGTTTAGCCTATCAATGTCGTATTGACCATTTATGTCTATTGATTACTGATTACTCGTATAACTACACTATATATTTCGAAGATAAAATTCATTCATTTAAATCCTATCGGCTTCATCTATTTTTAAAGAATTTAAGTTAAGGAATTGAAATTTCTGTTTTTAATACTTGTAGGTAGTTTGTTATTACAATTTTTCCTGATTTTGTTTTATAAAAAATATGCGTATATAATTTTGTGAAGATATAAATTTAGAAAGGTTTCAGTATTATGTTAAATTCAGTTCATATTTAATTCATATAAATTTAAATATTACTATAAGTAAATAAATGTATTAGGATTGGGAAATTTCTAATATAGGGTTTCAAGCAGGTTTTATTATATCCTTAAGTATATAGGGGTGATTTTTTTAAAAGGCTCCTAAACGTTAAGAAGTAGGTACACAGATTTCTTATAGCCATATAATCCATTTTTTCTTTTTTATATATAATTTTGTAACTGTAAATATTATAACCATCAAATTTTCAGATTTACATAAGAACATTTTTGTTCAAATGTATCTATAAACTGATACAACTGACACAAAAAAGGCTATCCGAAATGAAGAAAAAAATTACTATCATCAATCACCATATTTTATAGTTATAAAGTTATTAAAAGAAACAGCGTATTCATACAATTCCATTATCTAGTGAAATGAAAGCTACAAGAAAAATAATTTCCGAGATTTCATAGTGAGCATATTTAAGTGAATCACTCTGTCTAACACTAGCAGATAATGTTACGTCTGTATGGTACTTACTGATTTCATTACTACAAAAATTTCCTTAGTGTAAAGTATTTACGTGTATTTACCTAACGTTATATAACATACCATAACTTGGATGTTTGTATAATATATAGGAAGCGCATGAATTTAATTTATAAACATTTTTTGCGAGCGTTTCACATATATGAACCACGCATTTTCTACTGAATGCGAGGTCTGTTTAAAAAATTGGAACGTTATGTAAAACTCATTTGCGTTAATTAAATTAACAGCCTGAGAAAATTTTAGCTGTAATGCTATTTTATCAAGAAAAGGCGGAAACTTGTATGAATACATTACTGCGGTTTTACAATTGCGCATTCACGTCCACTACCAAATGCCACTTGCTAACATGCAGAAAAGTAATAATTATTTTTCATTATATTTGTTAATAAGTATAAATTATAAACACAACGCATTATTTATTCATTTATTTAAAGACAAAAATCTGATTAAATGCAATGCAGCAATAGTAAAATATCTTGAAAACCAATGTACCGTTGTGTACATAATTAAAGTTGCCTAGGTATGTAATATTAATTTAATAAACTACGATACGTCGAAAGTCATTTAGTCAGGGGAAATTATCAAATCCATGTGGAAGTTTAATGAATTCACAAATCCATGTGGGAATTTATAAAATTCTTCCCCCGCTTAAATAGCCGTATGTAATCAGAATATTTGAAGTTAATAATGTTTTTCATTCATAATCATAAACTGCCCTACTTTTGTGAATTAATTAGCTTAAATATTCAAATTTATGAATTCATTATCTCTAATGTAGAAATAATAAATCATTATTTTCTTATTTTTGTTCTTTTTTAGATCGGCAATAAAAATAGGTATTTGCATTTATTAAAGATTTAAATAACTTACATAAAATAAGTGGCAATTGTTAGTTAATATGCGAAATTTTATTAAGTTTTACTTCGATGTATGTAATTTTTATTACTAAGCTTCTGTTAATCTTTATTACCACAACATCTAGGTATTGTATTGTTTCCTATTAATGTGTTACACAAAATGTTATTTATAAAAATTATACAGGAATTCTTTGAATTTGGATTCTATAAAGCTATTTCTCAGTAAGATATCAGTTTATTAATAGCATGTTGTTATAAAACGCCATTCTTAATAATAATTTTTAAAGAAACGGTAATTTGTCAACTCCCAGAAAGTAATAAATATCAGAGAACAATAATTTATTTAAAAATATGTGGGCAAGCAAATGAAATTTTCTTTTGTGTATTTAATCAGAAGTGATTTTTTTTTCAAGACCCAAGGATTATATCATATAAAAATAAAGACAGAACTAGGACACAATTATTACCAATCCAATTAATTTAGCTTCGTATAAAACATAAAATCCACTGAACACGGTTATAGATACTTGTAAGTCAAACTAAACGTCTTTTTTCTTGAAAAACTAGTATTCTTTTGTACCTATACCTATAACAGCAATATTGGTTTAATATTGTCGCTATAATTATACTCATATATGTACTGGTTTTAACCATATAGGTATATCTGTGCAGTATATTGGTAACATACGACATAAAAATATCTTACATTAGTCATGTTACGTTATTAGGTGCTGTAGCATGATATATGACAATTAATAAGTTACTTATAAGAATAATAATTCATATACAAGTCACCAAAGAAAGAATCGTGACATTTTCTTGCAACTTCGACACGTATCTATAATGCATGAAACTGGGTTATGGGAAAATACTCGTAATAATGCAATATGAATAACCCAAATTTTGGCATTGTTTTAACAATTTGCAATATTCTAATTTTCTTGTTAGTTACATATTATATAGGATTTAAATACTAAAACTCTACTAGTTTATATGGATAGTATTCATGCGAAAAACATTATCAATATTGTATGATGCACACCATGACGTCAATATAATTTGACGTAGATTATTTATTTAAAATCATTTTGAATGAATTTTAGATTAATATTCCGTATATTCTGCACATTCTCTTAAGGAATTATTGTTTGAATAAATTTTAAAGGCAGATATTTTAATCTTAATCAAACCAAAATTCGTTTGTAGTAAATGTAAAATTCATGCAAAAAAGTGTAAACAGAATCCCACGTACTTTGCGTTAATAAGTTCAGCACCCACCTAGTCTCCGGAAAAATAGTGAAACGCGTGGCTACTATACTATACCCATTAATATGTAATTATTCTATCAGTTTGTATCACTCATATCGATATACACATAACACATTCAATGAATAATAAGTCCGTACGTGGCTAATTCTTAAGTGAGCTGGGATTTTTTTTAATAAGGCCATTAATAGAATATATATTTTGTGTTTCAAAATTTGGCTTGAAAAATCACATATGATACACCCTGATAATTCTGGATTGTCTACTTCTAGTTTTCGAGATACCAGTGTTGGGAATTGAAAACTACAGCACTCTGTACGTTTACCAGATTTTACGGACACTGGAAAACGACAAAACACGTAATTTAATGTAATTTGGTAAATTCTAAATTTAATAAGTTGTGGTTTCCGCATTTCGTATTTTTAGTTGACATATTCAAGTTCAGCAAAATTTGTTATGGTTTAGATAAGGTGACGAGGTAAGTAACAACAAATATTGTGTTAAGTGCAAATGGGTGGGAACTCGGTATCGCTCACAGACCGGAAAAAATTCTTGTAGAACTAATTCTCCTCATTAATTAAACTGATGATGAACTCTTACCATTTGATAACGATAAATAACTACAATAATCTTGTTGTGAAATGTATTAATATAAACAGTTCAATATTTTAAAAATTGATACGACTTCTAGGGAATCAGCAATTATCCATATAATGCTGCCATGATTCAGAGGCCTTAATGCGGTTATGAGTAAGCTTTATTATTCATTTAATGAAAAGATAAATATGCTGAAAAACCACAGCTTTAATATAATTTAAATATAGAACTGAATTTTATTATAAAAATTACAATTATATACCTACAAGAATTTCAAAAATATATATTTTTTTTGTTTAGAATATGCATTTTTTCACAATGAAATGTACCGTACTTGTCGTTAGATCTCGTTCAATGTGAAGTGCCACGGTTCCACTTAAAAATATGTCTATCTTGTATTTGAAGTTGATCTATTTTTCAAACAATTCACTGAAGTATTACAAATTTAATATCTATTTTCTTCTAAAAACTTTATTTTAAATAATTATACGGAGTGGCCGTTTTTTGAGCCGCACTATTGGGATCTCGCTTATCTTAAGATATACTAGGTCGGTTAAATTAGGACAAAGTTGCAGAATTTGATGAGAAATTTGATACATATTTTTTCCTTTTGATGTTATCGACGATAAACTGAACATTTTGATTTTCGTTTTAATTACAAAACAGTCAATTATTACTCGTTGATAATATCAGAGTACAAATGATTAGAAATTTAGTCAGACATTCGTCA